CAAATTGATTTATAATTTACAAATTAGAAACTAGAAAGACACATTCACTCTTTATGTGATTTACTTATTAATTTAAAAAAAAAAATAGATTAACTTTTTTTTAAACTGAGTTAAGTTAATTTTTTTTCTATATTAACTTATCGAGTTAAATTTATAATTTGTTAACTGTTAACTTTTAACTTATCAATCTTATATAGATTTGGACTTATATCCTAATGATCCTGGAAAATTTCCGGAAGTTATTACAAATGAAATGCTCACTTATTTCATGCAGTATGAACCATGTCAGCCCCTTCCATGGGAACTTCCCAACAAATGTTTCCCAACCTCAAAAGATAATCATGGCGTTTGTAGAAAGTTCCATGAATCATATTATTATAACACATTACCAAATGGATCTTTAGTTAAACGTACCTGGTTGTCTTACTCTGTGTCGATGAACAAAGTATACTGTATATCTTGTAAATTGTTTGGCCTCCCCAAGGCAAAAAAGTTACTATTGGCTCATAAAGGAACTAATGATTGGAAACATTTAAAAAGAAACCTTGACAACCATGCTCATACGACTGAACATCTACAAGCTGAGATAAGCCGGGGGTTATTTTCTAAAAATGTTAGAATTGACTTAAAACTGCTTCATTCTCATCATCAAAAAATATCAGAAAATAGAGAAGTTCTTAGAGCTATTATAAAAGTTTTGTTATTTTCAGCCAGACAAAATATTGCACTAAGAGGTCATAATGAGTCATTTATGTCCCAAAATCAAGGTAATACTATGGTAAAAAATGCAGTATTAATTCTAAAATAGTATGTTGGATATTTGACATTTCAACTGATAAAATAAAATATTTTCAGGCAATTTCATAGAGATGTTGAAACTTATTGGAGAATATCATGGGCCTCTAATGAATCATTTAAATAAAGTCTGGTCTTCAAAAAAAAATAGGCTTACATTTTTATCTCATGAATCTCAGAATTCTCTTTTGAAAATTATGGGAAATCAAGTTCGGTTATCTATAATTAAAGAATTGAAGGACAGTGGATTATTTGCTGTTATAATAGATACCACTACTGATGTTGCTAACATAGAGCAATTTACTTTTGTAGTGAGATATATACATGAAGGTATCAAAAATATGATTAAATTTTCATGTCAACGGAAATTAACAGTCTTTTTTTATTTTTAGGTAAACCATATGAACGATTATTGAGCTTAGAAGCAGCTACTGATGCGACCGGAAAAGGAATGTTTGATACTTTTTGTCGTATTACCGATAATTATCAAATTAATTGGAAAAAAAATCTTTGTGCCCAGTCATATGATGGAGCTGCTTCAATGCAAGGGGAGTATTCTGGTTTGAGAACGTTTATCCAAAATGAAAACCCACAAGCTGTATACGTCTGGTGCTTTGCTCATATAATGAATTTAGTAATAGTTGACACTTTAGACTATACTACAGACATAAGGATTTTTTTTGGAGAATTACAAGGCTTAGTAAGCTACATGAGAGCTAGAAAACGTACAGCAACATTTTATGAATGCCAAAAGAATTTAAATGTTGGACCCAAATCTAAGGACCGAATTCGCAAGATAAAAAATTTTTCCGATACCAGATGGACGTCACATGACCGTGTAATTTCTGTGATTCATGACAAGTTTGACGCATTAATTGATACTTTAAATATTCTATCCAGCTCAACAGATAGAGTAACATCTTCAAATGCACACATTTACTTACAAACAATTTCATCATTTAATTTTATATTGATTTTAAAATTGGTAGGCAGAATATTTTCAATTACAACTCCTACATCGTGTTACTTGCAATCTAAAAACATTGATTTTATTCAAGCTTTACAACTAATAGACAATGCTAAAGAACAATTAGTTTCACTTCGTTCTGATGAAAAGTTCAATGATCTAGCTGAAGACTCTAAACAATTTGCTATTGATCATAATTTACCAGAATCAAATTTTAAGGAGTCTCGTATACGTAAAAAAAAGAAAATGCCTGGTGAACAAGCAAATGATGAAATAATTAGTTCAGCGTCAGAAAGGTATGATTATTAAAAAAATTATGTATAGGTACATTTAATGATTTTATTATTTTAATTTAGATTCAAAATCAACACTTATTTCAATGCATTGGATCAAATCATAACATCAATTACTAACAGATATAATGGAGCTCGAGAAATTTTGAAAGATTTATCACTTCTCTCAACAAATCGATTAATAGAAGTTTCCAAATCTCCAAATGTATTGCCCATAGACTCATTTCTTTATTTATCACAATGGATAAAAGACATAAATGTAAAAAAACTGAAAAATGAATATATTATATTCAGCAAAAATTTCACTGAACTTATAAGTGGTATAACACTACCAGAAAAACTTCATTCTATTGAAACTGAAATATCAGAAAATATGTTGGGTACGGATTTAGATGATGAATCATCAGATGATGAAATGAGTATTGAAGAGAATAGCAAAAATGATGGACCAACTGCGTTGGAAATAATGCATCTTCTTTCTACTCATGATTTGAAGTCAGCATTTCCTAATTTGTACTTAGCTTATCAAGGATTATGTACTATGCCCGCATCATCAGCTTCAGCTGAAAGGAGCTTTTCAAAGGTATAATGTTATAACAATCATTTTATTCTAACAATAAAGATTCCAATTGTAATTAGTATCATATGTAATATAATTTTAATACTTCAGGTTAAACTCATTAAAACACGACTACGCTCAACAATGGGGCAATCTAGATTGGAAAGTTTATTGATTCTTTCCTGTGAGAGAGATAAGAAAATAAATATTGAAGATGCAATTAATACTTTTGGAAATTCATCAAGTCTTCTTAAAAAATGTCTAATGTATTCTTAGATTAAACTTTATGTGGAATTTGTAACATTTTTTTGGGAAGATCATAATGACTTTAATAATATTATATTATACCATCATCTACATTATTTGAGTGTTATACTATTTTTCTTTGTATATGACATATACATTGTATGTAAGTAATACTAATTACATATTAGGCACATCCTATTTTTTTCTTATAAATAAATAAAGTGGTGGTTTTATGGGGGTGATCCAGGGGAACTGCCTCGCCGGTCCTGAGTTTAGGCTGTGGTATATTATTTTAATGTAACACATTGCCAGCATTAACTATGCCCACGGCTATGAATGGTCAATGCCCAATGGATTATGGATAAACTAATATACTATAATATTATATTATCTACTATCTAGTTATGACTTATGTTACCGTGCCCCCGCAGGTTTAAATATCTAGGTATTAGTCTATCTATAAATACGAGCTTTAATTTGCCTTCTGTGAATATTAATAAACACGATTTATCAATAATTATCATAGATCATAGGCCATGATAGCACAATCAAGGTGTATTGATATCAATTTTATTATGACCGTRGCCAAGACAGAAATGATTTGTGAAAATATTATTTTTAATTTTTATACTGATATATTAATAATAATAAAAAAAAATTTAATTTAATTTAATTATTTAAATAAACCGCAACAGGAAAAACAGTTACATAAAAATGCTAAATAATCAAAATTATTTAATGAATAATGCTATGTTTAAAGCCACTTGCAAAACGATATTTTTGATAGCTAGACGACACTTGAAAAATGCTAGAACTAGCTATAAAATAGCTAGAATGGCAACACTGTTTGGAGCACCATCGACGGCGGATTCCCGTGTATAGGAATATAAGTTTCCCCTAAATCTCTTCGACGCCTTATCACTGTGCGAATGAGTGGGGTTTTTTTTAAATAATATTAAGACCGCGGTATATGCCGGGTAAGTTAAGGCCGTGTAGATAAGGACGATTTTTTTTTTGAATAAGGCGTGGTGTGGTATGCAATATTTCTTTAAGGGGTAATGTATAGTTTATATATATATATATTGCACCCTGTGCAGTATACGACGAAACACGAGGCGTGATCTGATAGTAAAAGCGATACTAAAATAATAAAAATAATTTAAAGACTAGATTATATATAAAAAATTGTGTTAATATAATATTTTAACACCGTTCATTATTTTCGCAGGTTATGCATACAGATATGCGATAATTTAACAATAACAATAATAATAGCAATAATAATAATAATAATAATAATATTAATTTAACAAAGATAATTTAATAATTTGCGAGGTAATGACCGTGCGCGTACGTGGAAATGTTATCAGGTAACACGTACCGCTTATCATCAGCCCTGTTTAGAACTAATTTCATGGATCTTATTGTACGCACTTCGTGTTTAAACGAGCGTATAGAAACATTTTCTCTATACGGCGTGAAAGGCATATAGCTGTAAACGTTGGATGGGGGCGTGATCGTCGACGAGTGAGGCGAATGCGTAGCAGGTATTGAGGCGTTCCGGTGTATTTGGGCGACTGCTTTAAGCGCTGAATCGGCTGCGATCATTTTACCCATAGTAGCGTCAAATTCGTCGTCGCACTCGTCGGATTCTGCATCGTCGTCCGCGTCGGCAAATAAACACCGCTTATGTTCGGCGAACGTCAGGTGATTACGAATCACGTGCCCCATAACACCCTTAGCACGAATGCAGACGTCCTGCTCCACGTCGTAGGCGTAAGACTTGGCACGCAACGCTACGAATTCGTACACAGTGCGGGAATCGGTCTCATTTTTGAACAGGCCTGGAATCCGTTTCCTAACAGTCGAGTAACACTTGTGATCGGGCGGTAGATTGGAGGTGTCCATAAACCGCATAAGATTCGGGTTGGCTGCCAAGTCGTCGTAAAAATCTTTCGTCTCCACACGGTAGAATAGGGAATCTGAAACACATAATAATAATAATAATAATACAATACAATATAATATAATACATTTATGTTTTTTCTAGAATGCATATATTGTAAACGCACCAGTATCGGTATACAGCAACTCGATCCTATCACCATAATGTCGCTTCATGACATCATAATGAAATCCGTACATTAACACTTTGCTGAGCTCTAATACGGCAAATCCTATGTAGATAGGTTTGCAGAAATCCACTTCTTTACTGTGTTGGACCACCACCGATAGATTTTCGCTATAAGTGGTACAGTAATTGAAGGTCGGGCGGTTTATGAGCTTCCGCATTCTGACTGGGCACGATACGAGCTCCAAATTAAAGCGTTTCCTCATGTTTTCAATCGATTTCCCTGCATACATACAATAATCACGATGTAAAGCTTAAGCGGTTTAAAGCTGAGAAAAGTTTTGAAAATTTATAAAAAAACATACCGAACACCGAATTGTTTAAATCTTTAAAAAACTTTTCTTCAAATTTGTTAGTCGACAGCCTGCGTAATTCGGTGTTGAGATTTATGTACGGGGCCAGCCATGGGGATTGTCGGAATTCCAATACTCGGTGCGTCTGAAATGTACGGAAAAAAGTTATAAGAATCGTATACACATAATAATTATAATATTAATAATCACTTTTTCGACTACGACGCCGTGGGCCATTGCCTGTTTCAAGTTCATATAATGAACCACGTAACGTTCTTTACGCAAAAATGTGACCATCAACTTTCGGACGGTAGACCCGCGCGGTATGCTGGCGTGAGGTAGGAACGGCATATCGTTGTGGGCGTCATGTAGATGTTGTGGATACGAAACGTCGACTTCGTAAAATCTACCCACGTCGTCCGTTTCGCTCATCCATTCCAGCTGCGCCAGCGCGACTTCCGGGTTCCCGGGGTACCATGCAAAATCTCTAATCGGCATATATTTACACATTCCATAACCATACAAATTATTAGCTAGAAGGGAAAAGATTGGTTAATATACACGTGTACAGTATAATTTATATTTTATAATCACCATCCAAGTATATGAGGGACGTGCTTGGTTCGTCTGCATTGTATCCCGGCGTCTCCGGATTGTTGGCTCGCGCGTGACGTTTACTAGCCTGGACCAGGCCGCCTCGCGTACCGGACTCTATGAAGAGAACTTTCTCAAAGTCCACCAAAAGTTCAAGTTGAACTTTGGTGAATTTAAGCATGCAATCAAAACTGAATCCGGGCGAAGTGTAATAATGCGCGGGGTCCAGGTGGTATGTAGCCATACATATATCCCTGAAATTTTCGAAGACGTCGGCGCTGATCAGCACATCGATTTGCAGGTACAAGTCGCTGTATGCGCCTAGCGACGTGCAGCCGAAATGGTTCCAAACCCGAGTCGCGTGATCGTAGTCTTCGTCGCACACGTGCGTCTCCGTCAACGCGCTATAGAATAGAAACTTTTCCGGTAACGATGGTACTTGTAATTTATYCCACGAATCCGTGTATTCGTACGGATACACGCCTTTTCGCGTGGCCAACGACATCTCCGACGGGGCGAAAACTTTCGCGACTTCGCGAAACTTATCAAAGTTCGCGGAGGAGAGGTTCTCCGCCAAGTGCGCCAAGCTCGACGCCATGAACCGGCACGTGTCTATAAACCTGACGGAAAACGTGTTGTTTATATATTTCGAAAACGAAATATATTTCTCCTCAGTGTTCGCGATTACCGATATTCGGTTAGTGTCGCCTTCGTTCGCTAAATTCGTCACGATAAAATGTGCGTCGTAGTTCGACAGATTATGTAGGAAGCACGGCACGAAATTTGGTGTTTTCAACTTAAGGTTGCACGTGTTACACAACGTTTTTAAAAAACGTCCCGACAAGTGATCGTGATGCGCGGTTTTACAATTGCGTTCGCTAAACGCACAACTGCACAAGTCACACGTAATCTTGGCGTCGTGCACACGACAATCCTCAACACTCATAATAATAGGCACGTTGACTTCCTTATATAATCTGGCTATTCTATCGGCCACATCGAGGACGTCGCGGACAAAACGCTTGGCCACATCGTCCTCGGTCGCCGAGCCGCGGAAAATGACAGGAGCCCTCGGTATGTCGAACTGGTCAAACAACTCTATCGGTATGCCCTCCGCCGCGACAACATGGTACCCGTAGCTCATTGGATGGTGATCGTGTATTGCAGTGGTATTCGCGCCTTGTTTCCTGTCCGTTTTCAGTAATAAGGCTTCGAAGTCTGCGTACACTACAAACGGCAACCGTTCCGTCTTACGCCACGCCTCGAATTTCAGCGTATCTCCCTCTTTCGGCATTAGAGGTAATACGGGTTTGTGCGTGCCACACAGTAAACGATGCTTGGCCAACGCCCTCTCACCGTGTAATTTATGTTTTAGAGGGCGGTTCTCGAAGCTGGTGAAACAACGTTTGCAAAAAAATAACCGATGCTCGTGATTATTTTTTTGCGGGGCGGCAAGTCGTGAAAAATTTGAGGTGTACGCATAATGATTCAAGCCGTCTTTCCCGGCGATCAGTAGCAGGTCGAAATGATCGGCCTTTTCTTCATCCGCGATGCGCAGCGGGTACGCGACGGATTGCGTACTTGATTTTTTTTTTTTATTATTATTTTTAGTGCAATTTCTTATACCATATAAATTAACGCTCGTTCCGGGATTCGATTTTTCAAATAATTTTATCTCCGACACGGGGGTGGGGGTCGATAACGCTGAAAAGTCATATCGGTGTTCTTCCCTCGCATAATTCGTGCCCACTCGTGTGCGATCGCTAGACACGTGTTTGGCGAGGATCGCCCACTTGAAACATTGCCGGTCGATATTCTGCGGATTAATCACGGCTTTCCGACTCAGAATACTTTCCGGCAACGGTAAGTACGACGATCCCCCCATAGGCGTATACTCGTACACACCCAAGAGCAGGCCGTCGATGCACGATAAGGTGAACCCGCTGTACTTCCCGGCGTAAGAATCTTCTTCGGCTTGGAGCGATGCGAAATCACGATCGACCAAACCCTCGACATTGCTGTGCGCGTATAATTCACGAGCCGAAGTTTTAAAAGCGCGGTTTTGAGCCGAATTGTGCAAGTTAGGAATGACGTATGTGGCCTCTAATTTAAGATTGTATTTAATAGGGTTAATACACACGCACTCGCGTAATTTTGCTATTAATTCGGACTCTATCGAATTGAGGAACGCACGGTAACTGGTTACGTTATCAACGTTCTTCCTGAAATACCATACGATTGCCCGATTATGCGATGACTCGATCTCAATAAAGCCCGAAGTATTAACCTTTTGCATGCGCGACTTTTTACGTTTGATATTTTTACTAGTATTTTCAGTGTGAGGCTCGCCTTCCTCGATGGACGGTGGTGAAAGTGGCTGTGCGACTGTTCCGCCGACGATAGCCTGTGCGTGCGGCGGGGTGACGATAACCGGTGTGCGGGCAGGCGTTATGATGAGGCTTAGGCGGGGGAGTAGATGTGTCCGCACGGCGACGACGGTCACTCAAGGCGACCGTCGGAGGTTGAACATCCGGTCGAGCGTGCGGGGTAGTGGCTGGGGGTGCCCAATTTATGACTGATGCGCGACCTAACATATATTATTAATTTTAAGATAGCGTCGTTATTATTATTTATATTTATTTATATTTATAAGTAAAAAATAATATTTACCCATTGAACTGCCTACTCGTACAGCGTTGTGGAATTCGGGAGTGTTTTTAGCGATCACTATATTTTAAAAATAATTTAATTATTAACCCCGAAAACGTTGTTGATCCGAAAAAACGTCATATGTGTAGAATTCTAATTTTTCATTATACAAAAAGCGATTTAAAAATTAATAATACATRTTCAAGATATGACGRTAATTCAACAATRTTAGTTTGCCCGACTATAWGAATAACAATGAGGTTTTTTCGGCTGAACGWCGTAATAATAATAAATGTACTTACTATGACGGTTTTGCACGTGAATACTGAGTTTGTCTCGGCGGGTGAACGTCTTGAGGCATATCCCGCACGAATTCGTCGATCCGTCGTGGGTTTTAGCGTGTCTGTTCAGATCGCGCTTATGAACGTAAACTTTATCACATATCGCACAGTTAAACATTTTCGAGAATGTAATACRAACAACGTTTTAAAATAATAATAAAATGTAGACGCGGAGACGAATATAAGCGTGAAACGTGAAACGTGTTTAAACTCTGTAGGCCATCTGATCCGAGATCTGAACGGAGCCGCTGTCATTTCGATTTAAGAACAAATCGCCCGCTAAGATTAACCAGCGCTCAGCATCGGGGTATATTATATGGTATATATATATATAATTTACACACGAAATATGCGCATCGTGCACATGTGTTAGCAGTGTTAGTGGCGGCGGAATCATACCGCGCATTTGCGAGGTCAACAACAACGGCGCGGCGGCACGGCAGCAGGGTATCTGATAACTGGGGGACTCAACGTTATATTTACTATTCAAATATTTTATATTATTTTTGTGACTATTATTTCGCGCGCGAACGAATACCGTATAGTATACAGTCGTCGACTGCAGTTACTGTGAGACCGTTACACCGACCGCAAGTGTCTTATACGCGATCAAGCAGCTAAAGCAAATTATCAGTGGTTTATTATAATAATATTTTTCTACAAAGTATTAAAATGAATTTATTAAAAYGTTCGGCCGATTRCCGATCRCTAGTGCGTTTGGTGCRCGAGAACTCGAATCCCGAGTATCCCGAGTATACAACGTTTTTATCGAGACTGWAAACATWCGRTTCRCATCCAACGCGGTCGCGYCAARATAAATATTCRCTGGCCGAATGYGGATTCACTTATACCGGTACCGGCGACTTGGTACAATGTCATTACTGCGGGTTATTGTTGGGAAAATGGGAGGAAAATGACGAAGTGTGGCAGCAACACGCAGTGCATAATCCCGAATGCGTATTTGTACTGTTATATAAAGGCGCACAATTTATCGAGAACGTTAAAAATGAATTTARCAATATCAATCGTRRCRATCGTTATGATAATAGTCAAGTCCGTATATGTAAATCGGAATCGTATGACGTCGTCGGCTAACATGCAGCTAAATCAATGTTCATTATTACACTGTATATATCTATATAATATCTGTATATATATTTTCATTGAATAAAA